ACTTTGCTTTTAGATTTGAATTGATAACACTAGTATTATTCCTTGTGACCAAAATAATATAATGTCAAATATATTGATAACTAATTATTTGAGATATGTAATACTTGTTGGAAGACGTCTAGCAACAGCTACTCAATCTAATGTTAACATCGGTGATCGAATGAAAATGCTAAATGATAATAAACAATATCAGAAAGCTCTTCAATTATTTGATACATTCAATGAACAAAACATTGATAAATGTTCCAATTGGATTATTATACAAGCTTTAAAAGCGTGCACTGAAATAAAGGATGTTCAACATGGTTCACAAATTCATAATCTTATTTCTTCTCGTTTGAAACGGGATCCTTATGTATTACCGTCATTAATTCATTTCTATAGTAAGTTCATTGAAAAAACGAAGAACGTATTGATTCACTAGTTTTCATATCACAAAATTGTGATTCTAGTGAAACCTGCATAAATTGAATGTAATAAAGAGAAAATGTATTACTAGTTATCTACTACGAGTCTGCATTGATAGTTGATAAGAAATTACTTTCTTCTTTTATCTGAAAATCATTTCTTAAGTTCTGTTTTAACGAATAAACTCGTTAAAATCTAATTAAGGCTTTCTATGGTTTCTTTCACTTCGTGCATATGTAGGTAAAATAGTTTGGTGTTTTATTTAACAATACCACTGTTTCAATGTATGATTGTTTGAAAATTGCACATTTTCATCTAAAGTTTCTTCACTATGCCTTTGTAAAAGAGGTTCTACAAGTTCAATATTTATAGTATATAGATAATGTTGTATGGTAATCATAATGATAATATTTTATGAAAAGAAAAAGCACATGAGCAAGATAGTTCATGAGCAATCTACAATTCGAATTCTTCAGCCAAATAACGTGTGACTACGTCGCTTCAGAATGAGAAGATCTAGATTTTCATCTATTTCACAAGTCACGGACACTACAACGTTTCTAGGGGCTGTTTGTTTTACTTACGTGACGCTCATAGTTCACCATGCGTTTCTCGTCTTCTTTTCTTCTAGACTTTTATTTTCACGAGTTTTCTTTCATCGTGTACTCACAGTTCAATTGTCGAGCTTTTATTGGAATAATTGTGAAAGCAATACATTACTTACAAGATTATATGACATTTCACCAGTTTATTTCAAAAAATCTTCTATAAAACTTACTTTTTTGGAAAGATCTACTGTGATAAATGACTTTGTTGAAAGCACTCGCAAAAGGTATAGGTTCCTTTCAACAGATATTCTTTTGTGCTCTTCAAGTTCTGGACTAATATGCAACTTGTATAGACGCAGTAAATATAAATTGTGCGTTTATGATTTTGATGATCAAATTAATGTTTTTGATCATGAACAAGATAGTTATCAAGTATATAGAACGAAAGAATGGACCAAGTATTCATGAACTCAATATTAAATGAACATGGTACATGAAGGATAATAAAAGTCCGTGTCTAAACAGACTTCTGAAATTTGTTAACACTTCCATAAGACTTTATCGCATTTTTCTCATACAGCTGTTATTCCTAGTTTAACAGTTGGGAGAAGGGTTTCTTAGTGGCAATCAACCTAGCCTGTTTTCAACCGACAACAATCCGCTTTTTTGTCCGATCATGGATGAAAAATGGTTTTCTGATCGAAACGCGATTTGAGTCAGGCCATACATATCGGCAGATTTCAGTCGGAAGAAATGTAATATCTTCTCCCTACTATATTGCACTTATCTACTATATTACTTCAAAAAAAACTAATAGTATTCGGGAAGTCCAAATGACTTCTCAAGAAATTCAAAATAGGTTTATAACAATAATTTCTTGTTCACGTTTGATTAAAGTGCAATGTGGCGACGTTACTCGTGCTCAATTATTGTTTGATAAATCAACAAAGAAAACACTGGTTATGTACGGAGCCATGATGAAAGGTATGCATGTTTTTTTTCTAAATTCATTAATACTTATTCGATTATTTGTAGGTTACATAAAAAATAATTCGGCGACAAATGCAATTGATCTTTTCAAGGAAGTTAAGAATCCAAATGAAGTTATGGTCAATCTCGTTTTCAATGCTTGTGCTCAGTTGGCAACGGAAAATGAATTAAATTTATTAAAATCAATCTCATCAGTGATTTCCAGTTCTTTCTATTCAAATCATTATGTTTTAACTTCTCTTATTGATGCATTTATTAAATGTGGTGATGTAAAAAGTGCTAAATCATTATTCGATAAATCAACAAGAAAAACATTACCAATGTACGGAGCTTTGATGGCAGGTTAATATCATGATTTGTTGCTAGTAATTCTTCAACTCATTTGATTGTATAGGTTTGACAATAAATGATCAAGAGGAGCAAGCAATTGCTATTTTCAATGAGATTCCTCTGAATGAGCTCCATCGAGAAAATCACAGTGAAAAAAAAAACTTACTGTTTGAAAAGAAAACTGATTGTCTTGAAGCAAATGTAACTATTTATTTATGTCTTATAAAAGCTTTGGCTAAGCTTGGTATATTTGAACAAGCTCAGTCGTTTGTTCAACAAATTCCAAGTTCTGTTCTTGCTGATCAACGAATTCGAAATGCATTGATTCATATGTGGGTATGTTCAAATAGTTTTTCTTTTATCTTAATTTTTTACTTTACCGAACATAAATGTAGGGTAAAGTTGGTTCTGTCGATGAAGCAAGACGAATATTTGAAAACATATCTCAACTGGATCACATTGGATGGACGGCTATGAGTCTGTTTTTGTTGTTTATTTTTTATAAAAAGATAAAAGTTGATTGTGTTTTTAATAGTTAATTCGTATGGTTTAAATGGGATGGGTGTCGAGGCAGTGAAACTTTTTCATCAAATGCCGAAAGAATTTATTAATGATTTAACTTACGTTTGTGTTCTAAATGCATGTTCACATTCAGGACTTGTTGATGTAGCTCGTTCAATCTTCAATAATATTCAAAAGAAAACAGAAATAATATACACAACAATGGTATACAGATAATTATCTATTTTTCTTTGACAAATAATATAAACTTTCTATCTTTTTATTTATTTAGATCGATTGTCTCAGTCGTAGAGCCGCTTTTGAAGAAGCACAACAAATAATTGAGCAATTCGAACGCGATCAGGCACCCGCATTAACTATCTATAGTTAGTATTCATTAGATGCTTTCATAATTCATAAAGTTTTTGGTTAATTTGCTTATCTGATTTAATTAAGATGTTCATATTATCATCAGAAATAGTTTTTCTCAAAAGTCTTTTTGTATCTTAAAGAATCCAGCTTTCAAAAATACTTTCCAGACATTCAACAATTTCACATCATTCTTGTATATATGCTATCAACGAATTTTTTCTTCGGTAATAGAGTTGAGTATATCTTACGGTATGAAACGGTGAACGTATCCTAGATGCGCCTGGTTCCGTTATTAGAAAAAGTTATGCAGTTTAGATCAATGTGACGACATATAGGGGAAGAATACTAGTAAAATGTCGTCACTAGCAATGATATTATTCATTCTGTGTAATACGTACTCGAACATCGGAAAATAGCGATCATGTTTCTATTTCAACACCATATGCTTTCGTATTTCAGCATTAATCCAGTATACTCAGTGGTAGATCTATAATTTCTATGATATAATAATATTCGGCTGAGATGAGTGGCGACTCGACGGAGATGGAGACTATCACGATTGTGAAAAATGTTTCTAGGTAGTACGAGCACATTATGAATTGTTTTCTACTAGAAAAAAAACAATCATATTTGTCCATTTGGAGAGATCGTCTTAACTTCCTTCCGAAATCCACCACTGAGTATATCAAACTCAATCCAAAATAAATATTTCTTCCTCATTAAATATTCGCTGGTATTGATCCTGGTTCTTGATGGCAATACTGATGAGCGAAAATAGAGGATTGAAATAGAGATCATATAACCAAAAGCGTCTAACGCAATGAAACTTGTTTTTTTTCTGTTCGGTCCGGTATGAAGTTTGAAAAATCCAAACGGTACCGATTTCTGCACCACCTATGTGAAGCTTTCCGTAATGGATTACAAAAAAGAGATCAATTATTCATATTAATGAACAAAGAAATTTTCAAATTCCATTTGCTATTTGAAATAGAATTTGACTGATATTCATATTGAATTGAGTTTCTCAGAAATTCTTTTCTAATGGTGTTAAACAAAACTGTTGAATGAAATATTCATAGAAGATACTTAAATCGTTACTCAAGTTAGAAATAACATATTAAAATAATTGAAACCGAAGCAAAATAGTGGAACATAAAATGCAGCCAACAGAGAAGAAAATTTTTACTGAACCTGGACGATATTCTCAGTGAAACGAACATTTATCAGAATATTTCTACTAGAGTTTCTTGAATAAACGTATAGATAAACAGATTCTCTTATTATTTCATTCCGCTTAATGTACTTCTTAGAAAGAAAAATGCAATAAAACGTATTTTTTGAATATTGAAAAAGCTAGAGGATGAATTTAGCTAATAAAAAGAAAAATTCTATGCTAGACTAGTAGATTTTTACTATAAATAAAAACGCCAAATTCGTTTTTATTTTTTGTTTTTTTCATTCTAGTGCCATTGTTATCAGGTGCTCGTAATCAGAAAAATACTAAATTATCACAGGAAGTTGTTGACCGTATGCAGAAGCTGTTTCCTAACATGAAAAGTTCATTAGTGGCAGCTTCGATTCTCTTGGCTAACGTTTATGCATCATCAGGTGACATTGAAAAAGCAACAGATATTAAAATCGAGTTGCATAAATCAGGTGGTAAGAAACAAATTGGTGTAACGGTGACTGATATCGATGGGAAACTCTGGGTAAGTTTGCAAAAGTCTTTTTATCAAAACATTCGAAATGATTTTGGTGTGTATTGATAGAAATTTCGAGCGCATGATCGATCACATGCTGAATCTGCGGAAATTCATGAACAAGCTGATCGAATGTCAAAAAGAATCATTGAATATGGGCATAAGTACGATGCAAGTTGGATTGTAAGGCCGGTGCAACCTGATGAGACAATTGAAACACTTCTTTGCGGACACAGCGAACGACTTGCTATGGCTGCTCATTTTATCCGTAATCGAAAACCCAAACGCATTCAAATGACGAAAAACCTTCGCATGTGTGGTGATTGTCGTAAGTCATGAATCAATCTGTTTTTTCTCATTGACTTTCTTCTGTTTCTTCATAGATGAAGTAACTAAATTAGTTGCTTTGATTTATCAATGTGAAATAGTTGTTCGTGACGCAAATCGTATACATCACTTTAATATGAATGGACAGTGCTCATGTCAAGACTATTTCTAAATAATTTTCCTTATATTTTTTCACTTTCTGTTATTCTTCATTGTTGTTGTTGTTGTTGTTTTTTATGAAAATAAAAAACATTATTTTTTTTCTATAATTTAAGATTTATGAGATTCTGAGTCATATTAAAAGGAATACTATTTGTGTTAGATAGTGTGTGTGTGTGTCTGAAAAGCGTTTAGGATGACATCCGCACCCTACGAATCAAGTAGATTTTTAGTATTCGACGCATTGAGTTTGCTAAGCAGTTCTTCGATCGATCAAAACGGATCACTGTAAATATCCATATTTTATTGTGAACGATCGTCTCTATACCGTATATCATCAACAACACAACAATTCTATTTAATTCGGAATTCGGAACTCAATTATTTGTATGATTCTAAAGATCCCAGTGATGTCACAGGTGCAAGATATCACAGGGACTGGAAAAGTACAAACAAAATCTATAGATGCCATATCTCTAGGCATCTATCTTAAGGAGGTGTGACACTGTGATGTAGTGTGATTTCGTTGTTGTTTTTCTCTATCGTGTGCTTTCATCTCATCTACTTGTATCCTTTCGTTCTGTGGATTGTTCTATTGCATCTATACATATATATATATATATATATGTATAGTTTCATGTGCACGTAGTCAGTACTACGTTCCAGTTTCTACATTCCAGCTACCCGTTTCGTTCCTTTCTTTCCTTCATCTTGTGTTTTTGTTTCTGTTTCTGTTTCTCCAGTCAATAAAATACATTATTGACCTTGACCGCTCTATTTCTATTACGCAATTCGTAATACGTGACAGACACATTCTGATCTCGGGATATCCTAGCGTTATCCATTTCTAATATGAGAGAGAAATTCGTTTTTTTTAATGTGAAATTCCTCAGAAACAACTTGAGATGAAAAACTTGGGTGTAGGTGTGGGTGTTAAGAATATCAACACCCACATTCTTGAAGTTAAAACAAGTGTTCTTTCTAGTAGTGCTAGATGTTTTTTAGGCAGTGTTGCCAGAAGAAGAATATTTGATAATTCAATGTCAACAATAGCCCAACACTAAAATTGATGAAGAAATAGTTTGCCAAAAACTTTTCTGATCTATCATAATTTTCCTCAGGAAAATAAGCAAGAAAAGAAATTATTTGAATTAAATTTTCATTAGTAAATACTTCATTAATCATATTTAAATCAGATTCAAAAATAAGTAGTAAATACTGAGCAATTTTCGCGTACATGCATAATATATTTGATGTAGCAAAAAAATGATATTCGTGTGCTGTTACATTTCGATTTACTGCAGATTCCAACAGATGAACATCAAGAAAACTAAATATAAGAGAGAATAAATCATTTGACTTCTTAATTCCCTCGACTGAAGGGAGGGTCATATGAAAAAAACTAAAATGCGTTTGTTTGTGTGTTTGCTTGAGGTCAAAAAAACATCCAACGGAGGTTAGCTTATTTTAAGACTTTTGCTCGTTTTGATCGCACTTTGTCATAGGTTATCGAGGGCACTGAATTCGAATCCGGAGCCCATTTCTTTGGCCGAGGTTTCATTGGTCGGGAAGTGACCAATCAGAAATGAACCTTCTCATTTTAAGACTTTTGGCTGTTTTGATCGCACTTCAT